ATTGACAACAGATGAAGAAGAGACTTGAAGCAACAGAAACAAAGAAAAGAGTGAACTGTTACGTAATAAGTCCCCTATATGGCAGTGAATGACAATTTCACAGATGAAGAAGAGACTTGAAGCAACAGAAACAAAGAAAAGAGTACTGAAATGTTACGTAATAAGTCCCCATATGGCGGTGAATGCTGACAACACAGATGAAGAAGAGACTTGAAGCAACAGAAACAAAGAAAAGAGTACTGAACTGTTACGTAATATCAGTCCTCCTATAATCACAGATGAAGAAGAGATTCTATAACAAAGAAAAGAGTACTGAAAATCAGTCCTCCTATTTTGAATGCTGGACAATCTCTCACAGATCTGAAGCAAATAAAATTAGAGTACTGAACGTCCTCCTATATGGCAGTTGACAATCTCCCTCACAGATGAAGAAGAGTGAGCCTAACAGAACAAAGAAAAAGAGTACTGAAATGTTACGTAATATCAGTCCTCCTATATGGCAGTGAATGCTGGACAAACAGATGAAGAAGAGACTTGAAGCAACAGAAATGTGATTTTACAGAAGAATGCTGGAAATACCATGGATTGAAAAAATGTGAGCCACAATGAAGTTTCAGTTAAAATGCAGCCAAAAAGCAAATTTATATTTAATATCACACAGAGAGAGAGAGAGAGAATTGAATTTTCTAGGGAACATATTGAGGAAAGAAGGCTTGGAAAATCTGATACTCACAGGACAGATTTATGGCAAGAGGAACAGAGGAAATCAACGCTTGACATACTTGGTCTGCTTCAGTAAATGGATGGCGGAACAGGGTTTGAGATAAGTAACAAAATGACAATATAGTAAGAGTCATAAAGAATATGGAATGGTAAAGTGCGATGACCGAGCATGTCTTGAAGGAACGCTGCGCATAATGAAGAAGAATTCTATAACAATCACATTTTGTGTGTGAAACGTCTAGGAACTATTATGATGCGGGAGGTGAATAGTGAGCCCGAACCTCACCGAATGACCCGTACTATGTGGTCATGTGTGAAATTTAGATAAGCTTAGTGGACAACTATTATCTGAGAGGTAATATGTACACAGGGTTGAATCGCCGCCAGTCCCTCTGTATTCAATTTGTAAGAAGGATGTTCCACTCGGATTTTTCTTACTAACAACCTCCACTTTGTGGAACCGGTTTCCACGAGTGGGCTTCTACGAACACTACAGCTTTAACGTATTCAAGTTCAGACAAGCTTAAACGCTTCAAGTCTACGCACGACATTTGTCTGACAAGAAATGAGACAGCGATTTAAGACAACACATAGATGATAGCATCGAAAGCATTTAAAGCAATAATTTTCTCGTGAGAAATTTCTTTGTCTTGAGTCGTCTTACTCTGGCAGAGAATCGAATAACGATCCCAGAAAATTCAGAGATGACGGCATTGAAGGCATTTAAAGCAATGACAGTCTCGCGAGAATTATGTTAATATTTAACAGCTCCCCCACCCACGATGGATGGATGTGGCACAAGGCCGAGTTTACCGTGGGTTCTCCTAGCCCATAGGCTCGGCCAAAAATATTCCCGTAGAACCCGCATAAGCGGTTTCGGGCCTGTTTACCTCCCCGGGCGAATCTCTTCCCTTCGGCACAGCTTCGTCCGGGTTCCTCTCTGTTCAAGGCAGAGAGTTCGACAGTAACGAATAGGCTATAGGGCCGCGAGAATTGTGTTTGTCTTCTTACTCTGGCAAGAAATCAGATAACGATTCAAAACAATTCAAAGATGATGGCATTGAAAGCATTTAAAACAATGATTTTCTCGCGAGAATTGTGTCTGTCTTCTTACTTCTGGGAAGAAATCTGTTATGGTAATTTACCCACGCAAGCATGGACTCTCCCAGCTATAAATAGGAGCAGGTACTGCCTTTTAGAGAGAGAAGTTTCCAGCAGTCAGCTCTGACAGTCGGGCCGAACATTGTAGCTGTAACACTCGTTTGTATATGTTTGTATTATTGTTTCTGTTAATATATTTGTTTAACTCAATTCTTCACTTTGTGTCTTTATTTCTGGACCTAAGAAGGCCATTAAAAATCAGACAGCTATTCGAAACAATTCGGAGATGATGTCAATGAAGGTATTTAAATCAATGATAGTCTCGCGAGATTTGTCTTTGTGTTCTTACTCTGGCAAGAAATTAGATAGCGATTCGAAACAATTCAGAGATGATGGCAATGATAGGTATTTAAAACAATGTTTTTTTCTCGCAAGATTCGTTTTTGTCTTTTTACTCTGGCAAGAAATCAGATAGCGATTCAAAACAATTCAACGATGTTGGCATTGAAAACATTTAAAAAATGATTGTCTCGCGAGATTTGTCTTTGCCTTGAGTTTTCTTACTCTGGTAGGAAATAGGATAGCAATTCATGACAATTCAGAGATGGAGATGAAGGCAGTGAAAGCAGTGATTGTTCCGAAGCCGCTGACAAAATCTCGCGAGAAATGTCATTTTTCTGACCCTTCAAACTCTGGCAATTTGTTGATGGTGATAAAAGCATTACTTTGGTTACGCCCGATTACTAAGCTTAACTTAGACGAGAACAAGGCAAAGCAGTACGCAACATCCCATGAGTATCGAGCTCACTTATCAATCGTAATGAGAATTTTGATTTAAAATCGGAGAGGTGAACACTACCCACGCCCAAGCAGGTGTTATGGGGCGAGTAAAATTCACCATACACTTACGTCGAAAATATTAGCAGATGTTTCACGTTGAAATGACAAACGCACTGATCTGATGACTGCCTGAAAGGATAAAAAACCTTTTAACGGATCTTGAAAGAAAATACGAAACTAATGGTAGCCTTTCTTTTAACGTTTTCTCCACTTTTTTTTTTTTTTTTTTTTTTTTATTAGCCTTTAGGCGTGCTATTATGCACCTTTATGTGAGGGTGGCGTAACAGTAACCGGTACCAAAAAAATGGAATCGGCGAGCCAAGTTCAAATTCCGACCTATTTTTCATTCGAAAGAAAAGGCTCGATATCTCATCTCTCCTAATATGTCTGTTAAATAACAGGACAGAAGTTAGCTTATGGTTGCAGCCAGTCTGCTAGAACAATTTGAACAGGGGTTAGACCTGGGTATGACGATAAAAAGTACATCCGACAATAAGGCCTCTGATCGGGAGATTGGAGGTTTTAAGGAGCGTGGAATCACTTCTTAACTACTGTTGTCCCAAGGTCCACCCTGACCCGGAGTGGTAGCACCTGTTAGGGTCCCCAGCTATGGCCAAATAGTGAACCCCCAAACCATATGAAAGTTTAAAAATACGTTTTTATAGTAAAAATACCAGCAATACATTTTTATATAAAAAGAATTACCAACGATACCTTTTTTATACCAGAATTACTGTCATATAGAAATAAAGTGTTTCTGCCGACACTTGGGTTTGAACGCGGATCACCAGAGAGCAAGCACAGTCGATCTCATCTTGAAATAATTACACCGAAGGCGTTACTATTGTCGTATCTGTGATTTACAAGGTCTTTTCTAGAAACGGACATTACAAAAATTATCAACAATAAATTCTACAGCAAAATGACCACCAATACATTTTATCTGGAGTTGAAGGTATAAAAATATGTTAAAAATGATTCCGACATTAGATAATCCAGGCCTAATAAGGCAGACAAAAAGTTTCTACGGGAGGTGGATATACATGTCCTCATTCAAAATGAGAATACTACGACCGAATAATAAGAAGATTATATTCAAGGCTAGATTTGTAGTCCTGAGGATTTTGCGTTCGTATTCGTGTGCTTTGTATATTCTATTATTAAATGTATTGTAATTAGAGAAGAACGGGGAGTACTGTTTCAGCAACGCTCACCTCATTGTTTGTACTCAACACTTAATCAGATTGGTTGTGTGTGTGTGTGTGTGTGTGTGTGTGTGTGTGTGTGTGTGTGGTCGTGGACATTTGCTGCCACGTCATCAAGGGCTTTTCTCTTCATTCTGGTATGCTTTGCGTGCGTCCATTAGTAAATCTATTTTAGTTAAAGAAGAACAGGTCTTACTTTTTGATGGACCCTCGTATCACGATCGAGAATGAAGGAGAATTTTCTTTTCATTCTAGTATGCTTCGTGTTCTTCTTTTATTAAATCAATGGAGCTTCGTATCTCGATCGAGAAGGGGGTAAACTATGTCGAGTGCTAGATCTGCAATCCTGGGACCTTTTGGTGTTTTTTTGACGAACGTAAAAAATACGATGATTGATGACACAAATGGCATCAAGCGTAAAGTAACCGTAAAAAATGATCTTCAAGATGCAATAATGCCTAAACAATGATAAAAAGATTACAAAATTATTTACAGGCCGACTTACGAGCAGATCGATTTAAGATCTGTTGGTCGTAAACAATCGTGGTCATAAGTCGACGCCGACCTGTACATTGTTTATATGTTTGGTTATGGATACGAAAGTGTGAATGAACAATTGAGAAGGAAACAAAACCATCATAATTTTAAGAAACGCTATTTACCCAATGAAATTAAACGTACCATTCAGAAATACCAAACAAGCAGCATGAGGCTTACCGGGAGCATGAGGTTCATGGGCAGCATGCGGCTCACCGACAGCATGCGGCTCACGGGCAGCATGCGGCTCACGGGCAGCATGCGGCTCACAGGCAGCATGCGGCTCACGAGCAGCATTCGGCTTACCGGATGCATGCGGCTCACCGGCAGCATGCGGCTCACAAGCAGCATTCGGCTTACCGGATGCATGCAGATCACCGGCAGTATTCAGCTCACCAGTAGCATGTAGTTCACTGACAGCAAGTGGCTCAAGGACAGTCCATGACTGTACCAAGGTATACTAAACTTCTTCAATAAAGTTTCTTTTTTTTTTATTTCCTTTTCTTTGTAAGGAAAAAAAATATCTGTGTTCTCCACTGGATCGGTGGGGGTGGAAATTGTTTTGAATAGGCACAGAGTTCCGTCTGTGTTTGCTTAGTGGCAAACATGACGCGGATGGGCAACACAGCTGTTTAGATCTAGAGAGAGAGATAGAAAGAAAGAAAGAAAGAGAGAGAGAGTTTTAGAGGAAATGATAACAACAGGGAGTGTGTTGAAAGAGAGTGAGAGAGAGATAGAAAGAAAGAAAGAGAGAGAGAGTTTGAGAGGAAATGATAACAACAGGGAGTGTGTTGAAAGTGAGTGAGAGAGAGAGAGAAAGAAAGAGAAAAGATGTGAACTAAGAGACACAGAAATAATTTCAGCAGTTTCCTGGAGTCAATGACACATTTGTATATCAACAAAGACGATCAACTTAACAAGAAAATATAAATTGGAATCGTTCAGTACATACGCTTGAACACAGTATAAATTCAGTAATATATATATATATATATATATATATATATATATATATATATATATATAAATTATATATATATATATATATATATATATATATATATATATATATATATATATATATATATATATATATATATAAAATCCGTAAGTGGTAAGGATGATCCAAATAGGTATTTTTAATATAAAATATTAAAAATAGATCCATGCAGAGAAATCAATGTATTTATATACAGAGTAATATGCTATACATTGAGAAGGAATGATGTGTTAAGTTTTTTCTTTCTTGATGCATATATATATATATATATATATATATATATATTTAGTTGGATTGATGTGAGTTTGTAACCCTAGGTTTCACTCCTTGCGATCGTACGATATATATATATATATATATATATATATATATATATATATATATATATATAAATGGAATGGAAAGTCTGACAATTATTTTAAGATATTTTTTATGTTTATACATTTTTTTATAGAGAACGAATATTTTCTGTGAAAATTTCTCGGATATTCAGGCCTGTAAATGTTGTTCAATGTTTTTTATTATAAACAGAGCATTTACTTAAATATTTGTATCTATAAAAAGAATATATAAACATAAAAATGTCTTAAAATAATTGGAGGACTTTCTCCATTTCATAATGTGTGACGTCATTTGTTTACATTTGATACGCCATGTGCAGATATGAATGTACGTGAGAGATTCATGGAAGATTGAAGTTTAAAGACAGTAAATTCAACCTTCTCGGACATTCAGGCCGGTAAATGTTGTTTAATTCTTTTTATTATAAACAGAGCATTTACTTAAATATTTGTATCTATAAAAAGAATGTATAAACATAAAAATGTCTTAATATATATATATATATATATATATATATATATATATAGTTGGATCGTACAATCGCAAGGGCGTGAAACCCAGGGTCACAAACTCACATCAATCCAACTAAATATGTTAGCTCTATCACTGATACTGAACGCTTTCCAATAAGTACCGCGCATATATAATATATAAATTATATATATAAAAATTACATATATATGTATTTATGTACATACATATATGTGCGTGTGTGTGTGTGGGCTTGTTTGTTTGCGTGTGTATGTTTTTAAAATAGGATACAGAAATCCTCGCATAGTTTTTAAGAAATTCGACAAATGGAAAAAAAATTTCATTGAAGATAAATTTGATTACGCGTTTCGTCATTCAAGGCTTCATCTGATCCAAAAACGAAAAAGAAAAAGATTTGGCGGGATTTATGTATCCTGTTTAAAAAAAATATATATATATATATTGTCGACACGGAAAACACATGGATAGACCGAAAAAAAAACACATAAATCTTTTACTTTCAACCAATTCCGAAGGATGGGATGAGACTTTGCCTCGGATTCATTTCACAAAAGGCTTATATGAATTTCATTCTCCCGAGACGTTCTGGAAAGGAGATGAGGATTTGCCTCTAATTCGATACAAAAAAAAAAAATGCTGTGAAAACATTAATAACTTTCGGCATGAACTAAGAATTATAAAGAAAAGATACAGAATAGGTATTTTAGCTTTTAAAAAGTCACTCATTTTCTTTCGTCTTTAATCACGAGAAACGCCATCTTAAGAAAAAAGTTCGACGATTCATTATTTAAGCATACACACAAATATACATACACACAAATACACATAGACGAAAATACACATACACACAAATACACATACACACAAATACACATACACACAAATAAACATAGACACAAATACACATACACAAAAATACACATACACACAAATACACAGACACACAAATACACAGACACAAATACATATAGACGCAAATACACATACACACAAATGCACATGCACAAAAATTCACATAAACACAAATACACATACGCACAAATGCACATACACACGAATACACATAGACACAAATGCACATACACGCAAATGCACATAGACACAAATACACATAAACACAAATGCACATACACATATTTCATTCTTTCGTTTCTTGATCTGATAAAGCCTAGAATGGCGAAATGCGAAAAAAACTGTATTTTCAATTAAACGTTTTCTATTTGTCATATATATATATATATATACAGTTTTTTCGCATTT